AGGTCTTTGAATATGGCTTGCCGGCCCACTAGGTGATAAAAAGTTCATGATCCGGCCCCACGTTCAAAAAGGTGGGACACCCCTGGTGTAGATGGTACAAGATGATAAAAAGTCCCCATAGGTAGGAAATAAGCTTCATTTTTGCAGAAAAGGACATTTTTCTTGCCATTTTCCAGTTGGTCTTAATAAAGGGTATCATTTTGGAACCAAGAGTTCTAGTTTTTTGTATGTCTTCTTGTCTCAGACCAACAGGGCTACCAAGTACACCCAAGAAATGAAGACACACTTTAGTGTTAAAGAGCAAAAATATATCCTTATTTTTGACAGATGCTTCCTAGAGAGGGGGAGCCGCAAGCCCCCTTCTCACTTGGTGCTATGTTCTAGTCTTTCTGAGAGTCCTGCAGAGCTGAGCTGGGACAATTAGTTCATTGTTAGGGGTTGCTTGCTCTTGGCCTGTTGATGCATTTTATCTCCTAGAAGATAAAATGTTCTTCCTATCTGTTTCTGTAGCTCCCACTCTGCATTCCAAGCATAGTTTGGGGGCTCTTGAGAAAGATACTTGGCTTAAAGCTACAATTGTTTCAGGGTGATAAAAACAATGGGAATTATGCCCAGAAGAAGAAAAAAGTGCCTTATTGACTTACTACGCCTTGCTGCCATCCTCTTTATTTTCTCCACAGGTTCCTCTTCTTCCATCATCTTAGACACAAACTACCTGACCTCACCTTTAGGGCCCTGCCTGGCTTAGCCCCATCCTACCTTTGGTCTCATACCCACTCTAAAGACATCAACTTCTGCCCTACCCACAGTACTAGCCATTATTATTTCTTAGTCAATTAATCCCATAAATACCTTCATCTTTTCTCCGACCAGCCCTTACACATGGGGGAAGTTGGCTGTAAATCCCCACAAAGTCACTATAGTGTAGTCCCGAAAACTCATCTCCACCACGATGCCTATGAAACACTGGAGAGCAACTAAACTAGTAACTGGCCCAGGTAACCTGCCTGCTTTAGCCTTTGTTTGCGCTCAGTTTGCATACTTACAGAGCAGCTTTTTTACAAACTGGGCTTTCCATGCAGGGGAACCCTGCCATCTCTGAGTTCCCCTGTGCAAGATTAATTTTCTTTTCTACCTGGGAGAAATTTTACAATCTTTGAATTCTCTTTTGCCTGATGAAGAGCAATGTGGACCCAAAAGCTTGCAAAGAAAAAAACATTTTTGCAACTATTTAGTTACTCTAGTGAAAGATATCGACTCTACCCCAAGAGTTTTGTCTACCTAGTAACTGGACAGTAACTTATTACATGTATCATACTTATTTTGCTGGAATCTTGTGCTCCTCTGCATCTGCATGTTGGTTCAACTAATTTTGAGTATAACACCTAGCACAGTGGAGCCTTTTTCCCTGATTGAGGTCTCTGGATACCAGCTCAGTACAAACAATTAATAATAATGTCTATAACTTTGACCCCTGTGTCTTTGTACACACAATGGTCATCCTAGGATCATATCAAAGTAGGGCTGGAAGGGACCTCACAAGGTCATCTAGTCCAACCCCCTCCTCAAGGCAGAATCTTAAAAATCTTTTAGTCTTTTGAAGTAGTTGTTTGTAAGTTAAAGAGCAGGTACGGCTTGCGTGGTAAGGAGTGTTATCTATTTTTTTATAGTGCCTAGCAGATTAAATTGCCACCGCTAGATCTGGGCACAGCCTTCCCCTACAGAAATGTTTAATAATTATGTTTGTGGTGGTCTTTCTATCTGATGTGGTAACGTGTACCTAAAAATACAGCACTGTGGCGATTTTGATGGTGACCACTGTTCCAACTGACTCTATCTAATTTACTAATTCACTATCAGCTCTGCAGAACCTATCTTGTTCTAGAATAGAGAAGCCCCCATTCTATCATGCCCCTAACAGTATCACCCAGATTGCCAGTCTCTTGGTGGTAATTATGTTGGAAAAAAGGGGATGAAATACAATATTTTTTGTTCATTAATGATCAAGAAAATACAGTTTGGGTATCAGTAGAGCATGGAGTCTTAAGTTTTGTTCTGGCACTTGGTGTACACACTAATTGCTTCTTTGTGTGGTGATGAAAGGGGCATGACAGTTTAACATGTGGTCATGGCCTGTCTGTGTAATGGTTTTAGTCAAAAGAGGAAGTCCATTTCCCATGTATTTGCTTCTCTCAGATTATGTTGGATGGGTCTGCCTATGGCTATGTTGGTAGTTAGGTTGTTCACAGTGGTGTTTTCAGAGTTCAGGCTGTACTTGCAACTTGAATGGGAAGACGCATCTTGGTTTAGCTTACAGACTGACTGTTTCTGTAGTATTTGTAATGAAGAGGGAACAGAAGGATTGGAATACTGACTTGAAGATCATTGTACACCCAACACAAAGTCACTTCTCTCTCTTTCATGTTATTCTTTCTCTGGAAAGTTTCTTCACTAAGATATGACTCACGTAGTACTGCCTTTCACTCCTCTTCCTCACTCAGAAGAAACCTAACTGCTTGCCTGATTTATGAAATGTGTGATTTCATCCCATTCTTTCTCAAAATGGATACCCTGTGCAACAACAAACATCTATCATCCTCATGAGATTATTAGAAAGTGTTATCAATAGCAGTAAACCCAACCATTTGTGCCTCATGTTTCTTTTCTCTGCCAAGTCCAAAAAGATCCGTAGTGGGGTGCTGAATGACACTGGCATACTGATGATGAAGACTTAGCTTTGGGAGAGTGGGTGGTTGCGAGTTTGTAGGAGTCAGAGCCTGGATGAAGACTAACTGGCTGACAGTTTGCCCAGATAAGAGGGAGATGACATTTTGATGCCACAAGAAACCACAAGCAAGTAGCACATCAACACTTGCCATCTGTTGAATGCATCCACTGTTGAGCCAGGTTCACAACTTCATGGAACCCCTATCCCTAGGGCCATGATGTTCCTGCCTTCTGGGATGTGTGGTCCGTGTTTGGTACTTGCCAGCCATTGTCTCCTCTGATGCCTTTGCTCCAGCAGTTCTAATGCAGAGTGCCTGAAAGCAGTTTCTTACCTTAATCCACACTTTGTGACTGTTGGCAGTAACATGCTGCAACTTCTCTTTGTCCCTCTTTGGCACCTTCTGCTCCAGCTTCTCGTGACTCTGATGCAGGAAGTCTTCATTCTGTTGATACTTACTATGCTTTCAGCCCTTGAAACTTCCTCCAAGATGAACACCAGCTTGCAGTTGGTGCAGATGAAGCTGAAGTTATCTCAGCTATCAGGGAGGAACATGAACTTGGCGCGTGTCCCATGTTGATAATGAGTCTGATCTTGATCCACTCTCCATTTTTCTGTCCTTGTGTCCTTGGAAAACTCTTGGGTGGTGGGGGGAGTGGGGAAAGTCTTATTCTGCCCTAGCTTTCTCCTGAGGCAAACTCAGTGTATTCACACAAGGCTGCCTTTTACAAGGCGGATAGGTCTCAGCTGGTCTAATTCATACATGGTCCTAGCTTTTACACTTCAATCAGCTACACAAGACCTACCTGCAACAAAACACTCTAAGCACACACAGCTGCAAACAAAGCATGAAGATGACTGAGACAGACATACAGAATGAGGCTGCCTGCTATTGTAAAGGCTTAGTTCATAGTGGAGCAGTGAATGAGGGAGGGTGCAGTTTCAAGTCTGGATGTCATTTATGTTAAAAAAGAGAAGTGAGGTTTTGCAAGAAAAATATAAGGGAAACATGCACTCTCCATGCAGGGGAGATTGAAAATTTTGTGGGGAACTTGGAGGCATTCACTTAGAGCCAGCTGTTCTGTACTGTTTGCACATTAAACTGTCTTTCCCAGGCAGATAAAGTAGTTAAAGTATTGGCCTGAGCCAATTCTTTAGTGATAAAGGAATTTGTTTTACTCTAGTCTTTTTTCTTCCTTCCAACAGGCGCTAATGAGGTTCTTCTTGTGATTGGAGGTTTTGGCAGTCAGCAGTCACCTATTGATGTGGTGGAGAAATATGATCCAAAGACTCAGGAATGGAGTTTCTTGCCAGTAAGGAATTTATCTGCTTTGTGACTTTTTTCAGCAGCACTAGTTCCTGCAAACATGCTGTGATTATAGTCCTAACAGACTGGAACATCCAGATAGAGCTCCAGTTGTTTAATTTTTCTTATTTGAAGTATCCATTCTGTTCTGCTAAGCATTTCAGATTTATGCTGAGAAGAATTGCTTAAGTTCAGTTGTTGCAAGAAGTGCTAATTATTCAGATTCAGGAAAAATGCATTGAGAGAGGTTTCAACTACGTTCTAGAGCTGCCAAACAATTGAAAAACTTTCTAATTTGTGTTGTGATACGCAGCTTGTGGTATCAGTAAAATGGATAGAGAAACCAGCCAATTTCTTTACTGAGAGAAAAGAATGTGCCTGACCTTTATTATTCTCTGTGATCTAAGAATGCCTGTAGATGTCTTCCGCGATCAGAGAATGCAAAGGCATGGAGAAAAGAGGAAAGGGGTGAAGTTAAGGATTAAAAAAGAGAACATCAGAGGTAGGGAGGGAGTAGTGGAGGTACCATAACTATGCTGTGGCTGTTGCAGCATTAAACTGGAGTCTTCTGTGTGTAATGTCTTGCTGCATTTTTTGTAGGTTCATCACATGATTCAGTTGGAAAAAAATTAAGTAGTTAAGGATGCAAAGTATTCTTTTACATTGAGCTTCTTCCCTTTTTTACTTCATTGTGCTGTGTAAAAATGGGAAAGAGTGTTGTTTTTGTTTTTTTTTTATTTTAAAAGTTTTAAATTTCAGCAGTAATTATTTTACTAGCTGAGGCAGCCTGACAGTAGTTTCTTTGTTGCTGACTGTAGTTGTAGAGAACAGGGAGGGGAACCAATAAGTTTGTATCTCCTGAAATGGAGAATGAGAAATGTTCCTTCCCAAGCAAAGGAAGTGGTAAGCTGCTTCTCATCTTCAGTACCCCTGGCCTCAGAAGAGCCTGAATACTATGAACCCTTAACCCTAAATCCCATTTAGATGGCTGAAAACCCTGGATGTTCCTAATTTATGTGAGAGAGCTCCAGCTTTCCCCCTTGCAGATTTCTGCAATGAAGGCAGGTGGTAGGAATGCAAACATCTGTGGTACATCAAAGATGCAGTAGCAGCTTACAGCAATTTGAACTTAAATTGCAAAATGAACCATGTGAGAGTTCTGGGGATAGGGGATGGGGGCAGTGAGAGGAACAGAGCATGGAAAAGTAAGGCCATCCACACACAATCAGGGTCCCCCAGCATATCATTTAAACGCAGGTTGCCATGTGTCCTTGACTGCATTAATGGGTCCTTTTCAGAAAAGCAGCAAAAGGGAATGGAATAGGCTGTGATAGTTCTCCATGTATCAGTGTGATTTCCTTTCTTTGATACTTCTCAAACAGAGCATTACTCGTAAGAGGCGCTATGTTGCTACTGTGTCCCTGCATGATCGGATCTATGTGATTGGAGGGTATGATGGACGCTCCCGTCTCAGCTCCGTGGAATGCTTGGATTATACCTCAGATGAGGATGGCATCTGGTACTCAGTGGCTCCAATGAATGTTCGGCGAGGTTTGGCAGGGGCCACTACCCTTGGAGGTATGCTCTGATCATATGCTAATAAGAGAAACTAGATTGCTCCACTGTCAGCATGAAATGCAATGTGTTGGCACCTTTGTTAGTGCATATGGTTGTTCATGTGGATGGGGTGACTTTCAGAGGAGTTTGTAGTACTTCTCTCTTAACCCTAAGAGCAACCTTTCCACCTTCTCCTTCTCCTTATTGTGTGGAAGTCTGTATTTTGAGAAGGTAGTACCAAGCAGGGATTATAGACAGGAAACCCTTTTGCCGGAGCATATCTAGCAGGATTCAGATACAATGTGTTCCACCCCTTATAAGCTATTTGTTTTAAGAAAGTGCTGATGTATCAATGAATGCTAGTGTCCAAGTAAACCTAGGCCTTCTATGCAGAGGGATACAATTGCACATAGAAGCTGCGCATAAAATGATATCAAGGGTGGAAATGATAGGCAAGGAAGGGGCATGTATGTATATGGGTGGGAATATTTGAGACCTGTTTATCTCAATCTGCTTCCAATACTGTGTTGCAGACATGATATATGTTTCTGGTGGTTTTGATGGAAGCCGGCGTCACACCAGTATGGAACGATACGACCCAAATATTGATCAGTGGAGTATGCTGGGAGACATGCAGACAGCTCGGGAAGGAGCAGGCCTGGTTGTTGCCAATAATGTTATCTACTGCCTTGGTGGGTGCCCATAGGATCCTTCAGCTCTCTGCAAGTATTAGCATCTCAGCCATTCTGCAGGTGTTTGTGTCTCACCCAGATTTTTTACCCATAGGATCCATCAGCTCTCTGCAAGTATTAGCAAGGAACTCCCGGTACATGCAGAATCCAGCTTCAATGGGAAGTTGTTGCAAATGTTGCCATAGCAGGGTATAGGGCAGCTTAGTCGGTAAGGACAGACTTATTTCATTCAGTCATTGCTGAGGGAGGCAGCAGTGCCTGAGACTAAAGCTCTTTCTTTACAGAATCATAAGATCTCTATATCTAGAAGTAAATTGGGCAAAACTAGCATTGGTGTTCTGCGAGACAGCTGAGAGACCTGAGAAGTGCAGGGACTGAGGGAGATTGCAGGAAATATGCAGTGGAGCGTATTACAGGCAATGAGAGGTAGTAACTGCACTTCCAGGAGATCGGTGTTGTTGTGGTGTCACTGGAGCATGGAAAGTCTGTAGACACCTGTCCTGAGCTGCTCATGGTTCAGCTGTTCTTTGTGGTGATTGCAGGTTAGAAGGTCCCAGCTTGCACACTATGAATGTTCCAGGTGGAGGAATTTCAGATTCCCAGAGCATTTCTAGGCCCCTTGGTCAATTTTGCCTTAGCTTTTGCTTTTCAGCCACCCTTATCCAATTCCAGGGGAATTGCACACCAAACACCATCTGCTAAATTTTCATACAGCTCCATCCTGAGTTCCCAAACCTTCCTCAGCCACTCTGCTGCTCTACCAGTGTGTACCCCACTGAGGCAGCATGATGTAGCCACTCTGCATTGTCTTCTGAAAAAAGCTGTGATAGCCTTGTATTCCTCCTTCCTTGCTTTTGCTGTCTGTGCCATCCAGGGCTCCTGAGCCCTGTTTGTTCATGGTTAGAGACTGTATTCCCACAGGTTTTTTGCCCGGCAATGCTGGTCTGCTCTGAGTTGTTCTGCTCACACTGCCAAACCTAAGCCAGAACCACACAGATTGGGGAACGACACAGGCACATTGCTCTATGGCATTAAAAAGTTCTCAATGTCAAACCCACTGTTTGTTCCTACATTGTGTTTCAGGTGGCTATGATGGTCTGAACATATTAAATTCCGTGGAGAGGTATGATCCCCACACTGGGCACTGGACTAATGTGACCCCAATGGCTACCAAGCGCTCAGGTGAGAGGTCTCATACACCCTGGAATCTGAGCAAGGGTGAACTGCAATTGAATGAACAGTCGTTTCTAGTTGTCTTGCCACCATCAAAGCCATTGGTCATATCCTGATATGGGAAGGGAGATGGAGAAGTAGGTATGTTGCAGTATGAACAATTCTAGCAACAGCTTTTGTGCAGCCTTAGTGACCATTTCCAGAAAGGTGTTCGCTTAGCTTCAAAAAGATTTCCTTACTCTTCGATGTAGCCTTGTTTCTTAAGGGAATATTCTATTCTCAGATAACAGACAAGGTTTTGCCTGCTTTAACACTACTCTGTTCTGTCTGTTCTGAGCCATCAGTATTGTTGTATGGCCCGTAGCATCTTGCATTTAGTATTTATTGGGTGAAACTGATAGGAAGCAGAGGGGAAGTTTCTGCCTCATTAGGAGCAAGGGACCAAGGGTGTTTTCCATTCCAAGGCAATAGCTCTCCCTTTGAGCCACATGGTTTGTGTGCTTCTTCCTGACCCTACATCTCTTCCCCTCTTGGCTGCCCAGTGTACCAGCTTTAAGGATGGGTTGGTGGTTAGAGTACTTTTTTGAAAAGCAAGAGATGCAGGCTCAAATCCTCTCCGGATGAGTAGGGGGGCTATAACTTGGATCTTGCACTCCCTGGGCAAGTGAACTAACCAATAGGCTACTGGGCTAAAACATGGGAGGGCTGGTCCTTCTCCTGTTCTCCATTTTACTTCTGGCAGGTCTGAATGCCAGGGTCATTCTGTTATACCACAAGGCAAAATACTGAGTATGTGCCACTTAGGCATATACAGTGAGATAAAATGTAACCCAAAGTGCCTTTATCACTAGATGAATCTCCATTGTAACTTAAGATAGCATGGCCTTTATTAGTATAGGCTGGAAACAGCACCTGCTCACACAGATATTTCTACCCTATCATGTGCATCACCAGAGTGAACAGTAAAGACTTGCATGTCTCTGAGAACCAGGTGCTGCGTGACTGTATGCAGAGCTAAGAAGGGAAAAGATAAAGGAATCCATCCCACAATTTGGTACTTTCTCCTTGTTCTAGCTAGTGGATGGAGGAGTAGCTGGAGATGCAACATCCTTGACTTATGGTGGGGTTAGGCTTGCACATGCATAGCTATGGATTTGCCCATGTGCGCAAACATCTCTGAGCTGAACTGCCCAGTGTATTCCCACATACATGCTCTGCAGAGCTGTGTTAGTTCCATTGCATCCGCTGAAATTAGGAGAATCCAGCTAGCTACAAGTGGGTAAGTGGTGAGAGATTTTGAGGAAAGTAATTGCATGTTCTCTTTAGGATAGAAGCAGACAGGAAACACTTGACCCCCTACTTGGTTTTTTGGCGGTGGCTTAAATGTGAAAGGAATGTTCCTTCTGACCCTGCAAGGTTTACCTGGGGCTGTGGCTGGGGTGGACACTACTCCATACGTCCTAGCTGCAGTGACTGTTGTGCGTTGCATGCATGGCATCTTTTGCTCAATAGAATGCCCTTCCCTCCCTTTCCAGGGGCAGGAGTTGCTCTGTTGAATGATCATATTTACGTTGTTGGTGGATTTGATGGGACTGCACATCTCTCCTCTGTGGAAGCCTATAACATTCGCACAGACTCCTGGACTACTGTGACAAGCATGACGACACCCCGTTGCTACGTGGGTGCCACTGTGCTGAGGGGAAGGCTGTACGCAATAGCTGGGTAAGAAGGGCAGGCCTGGGGTGGTCTCTCGGGTTCCTCTACACAGGTTCATGCAAAGTAATAGAAAGCAGATCCCTAATGAGCTTAATGCAGGGGTGAGCAATTATTTCAGGCAGAGGGCCGCTTGCTGAGTTTTGGCAAGCTATCAAGGGCTGCATGGCAGGCAGCCAGGGGCAGATAAATATTAATTTTCTAAATTTTTTAGGGGCCCCGCGGGCCGGATAGAATGGCCTGGTGAGTTGCATCTGGCCCATGGGCCGCATTTTGCCCACCCCTGGCTTAATGCTTAGTGCAGACAAATGCAGTCATGTTCAAGCCTGTTAGTTGGCAATGTTTACTCCGAGGTGGTGGAGGAGGGGAGTGGCATGTTTTCACTAAGGAAGGTAACAGCCATTGTGTGAGTAAATTTAGTGTAACAGGCTGAAGATCCTACAGAAGGGATTCGAATGAGGCTGTTCATGTATTTCACTGATGGGACTTGTTAAATGAGGATGGGCTGTAGTTTCACTGTACTAAATTAAACAAGCGGCAGCATTGTGTGCTGGAATGTTGCTCAGCCAGACTGGATATAGTGAGAAGAGCTTCTGTGCTGGTTTTAAACAGCCCTTCCCCTCACACATGCAACTTTAACAGCATTCCCGCTCCATTTTAACTCCCTGAATTCCCCACAGAGCTCCAGAGGTTGCTCTTTACCAATCATTGCTCACCTGTAACCTTCTCTGTCCTTGCAGATATGATGGCAACTCACTGCTGAGCAGCATCGAGTGCTACGATCCCATCATTGATAACTGGGAAGTGGTGACATCACTGGGAATGCAACGTTGTGATGCTGGTGTTTGCGTCCTTCGAGAGAAGTGACCTTGGGGGGCCCATATAAGAAACTCCCTGAGAACAGGCATTCTGGGTGGTTTGCAGTGACTGTTCTTAAGAGCTGTGCAGTGACGATAGCACTTTCTTTGCTTTTTTTACGCAAAGTGTGCATAAACATGTTGGCTCAGCAGCCACTGGAAGTCGAGAGCTCTGTGAGAGGCTAGAGAAAGGCACTTGGGTGGACCTAGAGAAATTGCATCCTCTGCCAGCCAGTCTCCCATCCCCCGTGGCTAACAGCAGAGATGCCTGCATCAGCTAGTCGGATGAATGTTTCTGAGGACATGTACATAGAGCTGGCTTGACAGTCCCCTCCGAAGCTTCAGGCCACACAGGGTTGCTGGCAGCTCTGAGTTGCCATGATGTGCAAGGATGGAATCCAGACTGCTCTCCAGATTGTCTTGGACAAACTGAATGTTTAAAACAAAATGTTCTGTGGCCCGTGTGAGCAATTACATCCCAGGGGTGTTCTGCATTGTAGCTATGTTTGCAGGCTATACACAACTTGAATACAAAGCAAGGAAGTCACAAATTACTGCTTTCAACTACTGAGGAGGGGTTTCTGGTACTCCAAAACAAAATTGGAGGAAGGAGCAGCAGAGTATGCAAGTGATGGGACTGCAAGTGATGAGAATTGCATTCAGTACATTCACATTTTCTGCAAGAAGGTCAATGGACATTTCTTGGAAATGATATTTTTTCTCCTCTAGCAGCAAGACTTTGGCTGTGCCTCTCTTCACAATCCTCCTGGGTGGATGTCATCTTTTAGAGGAACAGAAAGTGTACTAGCGAGGCCCTTTGGTGACTAAGACTCTTAACTGGGGACTGTGACTCGAATTTAGAATGTACACATACTACTGAGTAAGAAGTAATCTCTTCCTAGGATGAATCTCTGCTTGAGTCTGGAATCCATTTTGTCCTGTCTTATTTGTGTTGATTTTCCTTTTATCCAGTTCCATTCTGCTTATAAGGGGCCTCTTTGAAATGGCATTTGGATTCCTTTTCACCCATTTATTCTCAGCTATATACTTTCATGCACCTAGTTCCTTCACCTGTTGACTGCCCTTTTCCTTAAGCACATCTCTCACTTTGTGCCCTCCGTTCTCAAGGATCCAGGTCTTTGTCACTCCTGCCACCAGCTGAGCCCCCAAAGCATCCAAGTTCCATATAATGCTGCTCTTCTACATGCTGTTGACTCCTTGCTGATGTGGTGGGGTGGGACCAGGGACAGAGTAGCATGACTTGATGCACTTTCAGCTGATGCTCTGAATCCTTGTGTTTGTTCTTGCCACATTTTGACTTCATTTCCAATGTGTATTTTTAATGAAATTATCAAAAATAAAGTGAAGCCTATGAAAATGCAGCTGTTTTCTGTCTTAGAGGACGCGCGTGTTTACAAAGACTGTGTTGGTGACGCATCTATACTGACCTTACCTGGGCAACGCATAGGGGGTGCGTGTGGGTGCACATGCACCATGAGCGTGGTGGTGTACCCCCTACAAAAAGGTGCTGCTGACACTGTTGGTGGCACCTGCAGGCAGTTGCTGCTTGCTCCCCCCCACCGCCAACACCACCAGGGGCGTCTGTGGGACTTCCCGCTTACGGCTGCTGTGCCCCCACAGCTGCCGGGGGCATGCATCATTCATGGACCTTACAAAACCCTTATTGGCTTAAATGACTGAAACTCATAGGGCACAGAGAGAAGCTGGCTCTTTTTTTCTATATAAAAATAATTTGTATCCATGGCCAAATTAGCTAAAACTAATTCCAAATCCAAGAGTCCAGAACCATAAGTGGTCCTACTACCTGCAAACATCCTCCACCCCCACCTGGGGCTTCAGATGTTCCCAAAACCTTTGGCTGGCATCCTGTGTGCAGGCCCAAGCCTGGAGGCTTAGAGTTCAGATGCCCCCGAGTTTTGCTTGCCGTCAGTCATACGGCCGCAGGAGCAAGCAAGGGAGGAGACTCCCGTTTCCAGAAACGGCTTAAAGCCGCTGAACCATGTCAGAAGAGCAGTTTTCCTGCCAGGCGGTTCAGGGAAATTGCCTTCATGGACACAGATCTGTGGTGTTTCCGCAACCAAGTTAAGCTGCCGTTATGCTTGCTCTGAGCCTTCAAGAGGCCAAGATTGAATTTTATTAGATGTTAAGAGTTATATTAGCAGATGTTTAGAATTAAGCATTCAAAAAGATGAAAGCCAGTAGGGAAATACAGATCAATGTGCAGACAGACAAAGTCCTGTCTGCACATTAAAGTATCTGTGCGTGTTGGCTGTTTGAGTGGAGACTTTTTGGTTTTCTTTCTCCCCCCCTCACCTGCACAACCCTCGCGGCTCCCAGCACGTGTTTCTCGCCCCCGGCCTCCCACTTCCGTGCCCAGCCACACCCCCGCGTGACGTCACGGGCCCCTCCTGACATCCCTGCGGGGACCTGATCCCCTGGCTCTTCCCAGGAGCTCCGCGCTCTGCAGGACACCACCGCTCTACAGCCCCGCCCCTCCCCGTGTGGCGCCCAGTTCCGGTGACCCCTCCCTCGCGCCGCTCCACGTCGGTGACTGACGTCACGCGGCCTCGTCCGCCTCCCAGCGGCGCTTCCGACTGCGGCTGCGCGGTGATGGCGGCGCCCGGCTCGGGGATGGAGGTGCTGGTGTGCGCGCGCGGGCGGAACCGCAAGGCCGTGCTGTGCCAGCGCTGCGGGTCCCGCGTCCTGCAGCCCGGCGCCGCCACCTTGGCCCGCAGGCAGGTATGTGCCCTGTCCGCGCTAGTGTCATGCTGTGACCCGCCCGGTGCCCCGGAAGAAGGCTCGAGGGGAGGGCGCCCCCAGTTGTGAGGAGACTTGCTGAGACGCTCCCCATCCCCACCACCTGGCCCTGCTGTAGTGGATCGGTTCGGTCTGGAAACGGGGCATCATCGTGTGCAGAGAAGTTATGGGGGTGCCCCAACGAGTCCCAGGAAAGGGGGTGCCCGTGGTTGCCAAATGGGCTGAGAACCGCTGCTCTAAAGGGGAGCAGCACCGCGGTGACGGTGATGGTCTGACACGCGCTTTTCTTGTCCGGCAGCTTTTCCTACCTTCCATGAAGAAGAAGACGGCCCTGGCTGAGAGCGGCTCCCCTGACGGGGACGTGCTGCAGGACCACTGGCTGGTGGATGACATGTTTTCCTTTGAAAATATCGGATTCACGAAGGACGTTGGGAACATCAAGTTCCTTATCTGTGCGGACTGTGAGATCGGGCCCATTGGCTGGCACTGCCTAGACGACAAGAAGAGCTTCTACATCGCCTTGGACCGTGTTTCCCATGAGTGACAGCTGGAGCAACGCTGGTTCCCCCTGAGGTCCTCGCAGCCAGCGTAGCCATTTCATGCATCTCCATCATGCACTAATATGAATCTGTTCATACAACACGTGGACTTGAACCTGTCATGAACTCATCTGAAATGGCTTATTTAAGGCAATGTGCAATTACTCATACATTCATCAACTTCTGGTCCATCCTTTCATTGTATTATGGAGGTGGGGGTGGCAGTTTTATGATTTTTGTCTGATTTTTTTTTTTTTTTTACTCCTGATTCAAGGGCATTTTCTAGTTCTGTTTGGAGGTGTTAAAGTAAGGACATATTTCTTGTTTCTACCATGTGTCTTATCCACGCTAACTCATTGTTTGTGTCCTAATACTGTTTAAATGTTGACTATACTATTGTGATGTGTTACATTTAAAATGTTTATCCTCTAAGTAAATGACTAACTAGAAACTACATCTGATAATAGGGGTAACTAGGTAGAATTCTGTTTAGTTTTTGTGGCATTTCATCCAGTGATAATGGTTTCCCATTGTGTTTTGACCTAAAGGGCTTGTCATTTTTACCATTCATTAAAAAAATTACAACAAGGGCAGCTTTGTCCCTAATTCTAAAAAAGGATGACTTTCCCACTTGCTCTTTTACTGCTTGAATTTTCCTTGGCCAGGCAGTGAAGATAATCTGGGATACCATGGAGACAGTAGTAAGAAATCTGAGTTTTCTGTGAGAGACATTCATAGTAAAACTACAAGCAGTTGATGTACTTGATCTGCTGTCATTATGAATATTCATATTTGAGTAAATGAATTCCATGCTTCTCAATGTTGTTTTTTTTAAATTGTTTTGCCTATTAAAAAGGCAATGCTGATGTACAGCATTTCTGTAGTTGCTGTAAGTCACTCACATTGTTTGTTGTAGACTAGCCACTAGAAATAGATTAGGACTTAGCTGAAAACTGAAATGATTATTATAATTCCCAAAATTAGACTGTGCAGTTTGCTTAAAGTTAGGATATATTGTCTTGTTACAAAAAAGAAGTTCTTAAAATACAGTGCAGAAAAGCTGTCGGATGAGCAAGTAAGTTTTTAATGTATATTAAATAATGGCAAAAGCTGGATAATGCTGAGAGGTTATTGAAATGATTTGGTTAAAAAAAATCAGACAGGATCATTATCTGTTTAAAACTTTATGGTGGTAGAACTTGCTGCACATAAAAGAATTGGACTGTTTAGAAAGAAAAAAACTATTTTCTGTAGCTCAACATTATTATTCAGTAGAAAAGCTGCAGCCAAGAGGCTACGGCAGCAGACAATGTGGACAAACTAGCTGATTTGTTCTGACCTGTGGAATTGCAGGGTAATTTTTTTTTTCTTTTTTGGAGAGAAAATGCAGCTGCTGCAATTGCAACTAATATTTTTGTGTTTACTTTCATCAGCTTTCTAAATAAAGTGAAAACCCAGTCTTTGTACAGGTATGGTTGATTCAGTGGGAAACATTAAGGAGGTGCAACTATAGTGTTTCCAGATGGTTACATACTGTTTAGAATGACCTGGGAAAGGTGTCTGCTGCTGGAAGTAAGTGCTTTAAAGTAGTGTATTATGCTGCAGACTTAGCTTGAAGTTTGGAAAGCAGTCAAGAAATTATAGGCACTGATCTCATTATCTTAACTCCTGTGGACTTGAGCTTTCTGAAAGAGCTTAAACTTTATGAAGTTTGATAACAGCATAACATAACTGTAAAATACTTAGAGCTGTGCAAGCCTTTTGACTAGTAAGTCACTGTACAACATTCATTTGTAAAATTAACCCTACACAGTATTAACTAAGCACACTTTTACTTTAAAGGTCTGAACAAATTGTGATCAGTAGGGATTTATTCAGTGAGGATGATTTTAGTGGGGTTTCACAGGCAATAGTACTAAGGCCAGTGCCAATCAAGTTTTTATTGGTAAAATACTTGGAAATAAATACACAATCATCGCCCATGTTTGTATCATGCAAATTTTATCAGCAGAATGGTAAGAACCAGGGAAAAATACATCAGTAAAGACTGACTACAAATTCTATTCCGATCTAGATGTTGTATCCTGTATCTCCGTTCCAAAGGAAAGGGCTTATCCCACCGAGGACTTTAAACCCTGCACAGAGGAGCTCTGGCTGCCTGGGTCCAGGGCCATGCTGGGGTCTACTTTTTTAATTTCACAAGCTTGGGTTACTCCTTGTTTGGTTGACTAATTAAGGTGTCCTATGCAAAAGGCCCAGGTTCAAATTTCTCTGCTGTGTTCAGACCATTGAGCAAAGGTCTTTCAGTTCTCAAATGTGTGTCCTAATCAGTGGATTATATAGAAAAGGGGTGTCAAAGATACAGCCCGCGAGCTGGAGCTGGCCCACAAAACTATCATCTGGCCCTCGCTGCTGCCCATGGGTGTCAGTAAGGCACAGGCAGCGTGCAGGGCGTGCTGGATGGCCCTGTGAATGTGAGTGGGTGCAGCACTATGCTGGGGGATGAGCTGGGGTCTCCTCAGGTCTCTGCACCACATGTCTGAGGCATGGGGTAGCTAGAGGGAGGGGAGATGCTGCAGGCTGCTAGCTGCCTGTGTTCAGCTCCTGCTTCCCAGGTTGCATGACATGCTGGATCCCTGGCAGTACACAAGGTAGACAGGACATCACCTGGCTTGCAATCCCCACTGGGGTTCCAGGGGCAGGACCCTTGGTGTGAGCAGGGGTGTGAGGAGCGCTGGCTCTTTTACCTTCAGTGCATGTAGAGGAGGTGACCAAGACAGGCAGGATGAGGTGGGTTTGACCAGCACCAACCAGCCTGCAGCATAGCCATGGAATGGTTGGAGTAGGACCACAATAGTGCCCACTCTGGCCTCAGGATACGCAAGGCCAGTGTACGGGTTTGATCTGGTTTGCAGACCAGCCCCACACTGCTCATCCAATCTATGGGGCTGGCTGAGTTTCGCACACCTTATATAACATTCATTGGGATACAGAGATTGTGTACATCCCAGCTGTTTGTTGTTCCCCAAACAGATAAGAGACTGGTTGCAGTACTTGCTTCACTGAATATTTGATTATGTAAGCAAAATAGAATTGCTTCAACAGGAGAGAGAGAGATGCTGGGTAGGCATTCTCCTGAGAGCTAGGTGACCTTGGTTTAAGCCCTTGTTCCAGTTCAGGCAAAGAGGGAATTTAAACCCACATTTCCTACATCTTAGCGGAGTGCTCCACATTAGTTAAAAGGCATAGGGAATTGTATTTCTTCTTCCTGGCTGTGTTTTATTTGGGGGTTTTAAACCCAGTATGTCAACTGGATGGAGCTCCACAGCCAAAATAAATAAAGGGGCACCCATAGTTTTTGAATCCTGCAAAGGTTCAAGTACAAGCTAATCACTGAACAGATCAGCATTGCCAAGACAAGAAATTGTACTTATGCCCACCTGCAGAAATGTTAGTGCTTAGGGGACTTTTCCGGTGAAAATGTAGGTGTTGAAGGAATTTAGGCTCTTCCAAGGTTATGCAAGGGCTCAGCTGTGTGCAGCACAAAGAACAGTGGAATGTGCCCTTGAAGTCCACATAGCAAGCCTTGCTTACAGAGCAATTCCAAGTAGAGCTTTGCAGTGTGGCTGCTAATGCCGAGGCAAAGTCAACCCAGGTACCCAGATCCGAGTCCTAATCAGGTGGCTAACTGTTCAGTGAAAATATATTTAAAAGGGCTAACACAATCCTTGTACATATAAAGGGGGACATGGAGTAGCTTTATGGTGGGGATGTTATTCCATGTATAGCAGAGGTGGGTTACCAGTGGAAGAGTGTGTTCAGTCAGTTCTCATATTCCCATTTCAAAAGGGATGTTGAAAATAGCAGTGTGTGGCAGAGGATTAGAAAGGCGGGTATTCACAGATGATCTGTGGTCCTGCATAGTAGAGGGAAACTAACAGGGATCAGTTTATCTGTCTTATGCTAGAGAAGGTAAAAAGGCAAATTGTTCACAGTCAGCATGTCCCTACAAGAGGAATTTAAAAAAATATTGGTGTTGACAAAAAAAACAAAACAGAATTTAAAAGTGTCCAACTTACAATCCTTCCACTTTCCCAAGTGATGCATTTTCTGTTGCTTGATAGCCATCATCATATAAACCTGTTCTCCTGTTTCCTATAAAGTCTTCTGTGAAAAAGGATGAACTTAAAACATGGTCCGTATGTATGTATGTATGTGTACATATCTATACACATCATACATGTATTTTTATATATATATATATATATATATATGTATGTATGTATGTATATGTATGTATGTATGTATGTATGTATATGTGTGTATAAAATAAACACCCCCTACCACAAAAATACCTTCCATGCTGATGCAGTCAGCCCTCTTTTCTATCATAGATAAATAGAAAGGGGAAATGCCATTTTCCCTCTGCAGTTCTACTTTAATGTAGTTCTAATCCGTTCCAGAAATGCCCTCCAGAACCTTAATAGCTAACATTGTTGATCAATCACTCTTGCTAAGGATTTTTAAAGTAATGTAAGCCCCACCCTCTGGTACAGCCAGCCAGCCAAGGGAACACTTAACAAACCCTCTCTCTGCTTATGGATGAAACCCTTTTCTGAGAGGTTTGCTTTATATGAAAGAGAATGGCTCTATTCAGAAAGGATAACAATCTTATTGCTCAAGGCTGCTTTAAATACCTGTTGTGACTGATCTGGCAAATACTGTAATCACTAAAAACCTCATAAGATCACCACCAGGAGGGGAGGCATCCACAAGCCTCACCTCAGATGCAGTGCCTCTCATGAAAGCTTTTGATAATCTATCCTGCAAGACTCGAGCTCTCAGTTGGATGCACCCCTAGCTCTTGCCTCCTCTGGCAGAAGCTCCCCAAGGGTTCACTGCATCACTGACTGCAGGCCAGAGCAGCGTGCTCAAACCTACAACCCATGATGGTTCAAAAAGAGACTGGGTATGTTCACAGCCAATAGATTTATTAATGGCTATTGAACAGAATGGTTGGAGATGTTTTCTTTAGCACCTCTAACCCAATAAATGGTGGATGCCAGGGAGGGTATTGAAGGGTGGGGGTAGATCACTAGAGATATCCAGTTCAGCACTTTCCCTGTATAGCACCCAGTTCTGCCACTATCAGAGACAGGATACTGGCATAAGTGGACCATTGGTCTGTCCCAGCACTGCACTTCTTGTGGTAATTTTTACTAAATCTCATGGTGGGTGTGTGGGCTGGGAAGGACGCATTTAAGAAAAGTTACCAAGAATTCTTTCAGATTTTTTCCCCCTTGGTATGTGTTCATTTTTGGCAGAGTAAAATGATCTTTAAATAAATCAATAGCCTGTCTGCATTTGGAGCTTCAGCTGAGGAAAGCTTGTGACACACACACACACATATATGTATGTGTGTGTGTGTATACATATATATGTATGTATGTATATGCATATGTGTGTGTGTATACACACACACACACACACACACATACACGCACATATTTATTAAGGCTGTGCAAAGCTTCAAGTGGTGATTCGATTCAGAGGAGACTCAGCCTGATTCGGTGGCCGTATCTCTGAATCCGAATGGAATCGGGTGACCGATTTAGAGGTCCCAATCGATTCAAAGCTCTCCAGATCTTCGGAAAAGATTTGGAGAGCTTTGATGATTTGGGCAGTCCCTGGTGGCTGCAGCAGGGAGCTCCACCTGACTCCGAGCTAGTAAGTACTAGGAGTGGGAGAGGGGGGAGAGGACCATGGGGGGACCCCTGCCAGCCCCTACGACCCCCGCCCGCTCCC